CAACCACCAGCATACACCTCCATCAGCTGAGACAGGAGGAGCCATTTGACATTACGTCTCCAAAATCGTGCTCTTCGGGCACAACTTTGGCACCTGGTTTCCCAAGAGTTCTGACTTCCTCGTACTATACTCAACCAAACTGCCAGTGCGCTGTTATGGAAAAAGAAGGCGCTATGCGGAGAGAAAACTGGGCATCAACTCAGACTGTGCTGTGACAAGCACATTGCTTAACCTTGGGAGACCTTACATCCCCTATCTGCAGCAGAGAGGAATAGCGGCTAAAACCAGGCTGGCAGAGTTTAGAGGCTGTAAGACTGCACCAGTGTGGTGTAGTAGTTTGAATAGGTGATTTGAATATGGCGCACATAGACTTGAATGCTTGGCCCATAGGGAGTAGCGCTGTTAGGAGGGGTGGCCTTGTTGGAGCAGGTGTGGCTTTGTTGGAGGAAGTGTGTCACTGTGGGGGCGGGCTTTGAGGTCTCCTCTAATCAAGCTACACCCAGTGTGGCACACAGTCTCCTCCTCTCTGTGGATCAAGCTGTAGAACTATCAGCTCCTGCAGCACCATGCCTGCCTGCCTGCTCCCACCGTGACGGTAATGGCCTAAACCTCTGACGATGTGAGTCAGCCCCAATTAAAAGTTTAGGTGTTTGTTACTATGATTTTCTTGACTCAGAAAAAAGTATGTACCTTCTCAATAAAAGCCCTAACAGTAGTAAAAGAGAAAGGAGTGCTGGTCCTGGGAAGTGCCTGTGGCGCCCCTGTTCCTTCTTCGCCATGTAGAAGGGTCAGGTGACTTGGGGGCAGAGCAGCTCCTCCTGAGTTTATGGAGTGGACAGAATGGGTGCTGCATTTTTGCAGGTTGGCGTTTCCTCACTTGCTGAACTGAACGACTCCTTCCGGTAACAACGACAGCAACGTCAAGTAAACAGGTCCCGGGACCCAGACAGAGCTGTTTAAATGAGAGAAGGCAACTGCCTGCCAGCTAGAGTGATTTCCATTCAGTCAGCACCTGCTGAGGGGTGTTCAGCAGGATGTAGACAGCCAGCAGCCGGGCAGAGGAGGAAAAGCAAGCAAGGCATTCAGGACTGGAAGGCCACACAGTTTTGTCACCTTCTGCCTCCTCTGACTAAGACACACTGGTGTGCCTGGTTTCTTCTGAGAAGTATTTCCAAAAACATTGCAGAAGGCGGGTTGTTGCTGTTGTTGTTTGTTTTGTTTTGTTTTTCAGCTTTGCAGGGGCATATTTCGCATATAACATGGCTCTCTCGGTGTAGAATTCAATTGCGTGATCACTACCATAAATCACTTTTAGGTCATTTTGTTGACAGCCTGAAATCCTCCTCTTCCGTTAACTGTTGACCTCTCTTCTCATCCCCTGCCCTCCACAACTGCTAATCCACTGTCTCTGTAGATATGTTCAGAGAAACACTGTTATCTGGGAGAGATGCTTTTAAGAGCCTTTTTTAGTCTGTAACACATCCCACTGTATTTATGACTACAGTTTCCTGATCCATTCTTCTGGAAAGAGACCTTCTTGGGCTGCCCCTGTCTCGACTGCTGGGAATAATGCAGCATGGATATTGATGTTAAAAAAAAAAAAAAAAGTCTGCCTAAGCTCTCATTTGGATTCCCTCCATTCCACACCTAAAAGTAGGATCGCTGGATTGTGTAGTGGGTCGTGTTGAACACTAAAGGAGCCTCCATGTTGATTTACACAGCGGCCATGTTTACACTTTGTTCCATCAGTAGCACAGGTATCATCAATCCCTCCACATCTTCACTAACAACTGAAACTTTCTGTGTGCCTCTCGGTGTGTGTGTGTGTGTATGTGTGTGTGTATGTCTGTGTGCTGTGTGCTTCTTTTAGGATATTGTTGTTGTTGTGTAACTTATTGTCACTGTGTGTGTGGAGAGAGTCCATGTGAGCTCAGGTACCCTCAGAAGCCAACAACAGGCTTTGGATCCCCCGATACTGGAGCTGGAAAGGAGCGCAAGCCTTATGCAAGAACAGCACATGCTCTAACTGCCAAGCCACCTCCCCAGCCCATTGATGGCTTTTCTAGCCAATCTAACCAGTGTGCAGTGGTCATCACTCCATCGCTTTGGCCTGCATTTGCCTAATGTCTACTTGACCACATTTTAGCGAGCTCACTGGCCATCTGTCCACCCTGGGGAACTGTGTATTCAAATCTTTTGACTATTTGCCAATCAGGCAGTTTCACTGCTGTTGAGCCATGGTGTTCTCTATATATTCTGGATATTAACCACTTCCCACATTATTTGCCATTTTTAACCCATTCTCTGGACTGTGTTTTCACTTTCTTTTTGGTTTTTGTTGTTTTATTTTGTTTTGTTTTGTTTTGAGACAGGGTCTTTCCACTTAGCTGACTGTCTGAGAACTCACTATGTAAACAAGGCTGGCCTTGAACTCCAGAGATCTGCTTAGCTTGACTCCAGAGTGCTGGGACTAAAGGCATGTGCCACTCCACCCAGCTTGTCTCTTCACTGTCTTGATAGAATTTTTTGATGCAGAAAACTTTTTAACATTGTTGAAGTCCAATTTATTAATTTTTTTTTTGTTTTTTGGAGGTTTTTGGTGGGAGGCTGTTTTGTTTTGTTTTGTTCATTTGTTTTTGTTGGTCTTGGTCTCTGTTGTCTGAGCATTCAGTGGGAAAAGCATTGGCTTTCACATGGTAAGCTTCAGGACAGCCAGGGCTACCTAAGGAGAAGCTGTAAAAAAAAAAAAAAAAAAAAAAAAAAGGCTTGTTTAAGAAAAATCAAACAGAAAACAAAATCACCTGATGCCATAATGTGAGCTGCAATTACTTACCTGTGATTGGTTTCTCTGGTGGTTTCGGTTGTTTCCACCACAGTTCTTTATCAAGGTTAACCAGCACGCGTCTCGGTCCCTGGTTGTTTCTGAGAGACAGCTAACATGTCAGACATACTGAGCCTCAAGCTCTTGCTGCTTCCAGAGCTGTGTGTCCTGAGTGAGCTGAGAGGCATAGTTATTAGCAAAGTCTTTTCAGTTCCAAGTGACAGCAAGGCAATTTAAAACAGCGCAGACAGAAAAGGGAAACTACTGGTTCATGTGGCCAAAATGTTGCGATGAAAAGGGGCGGTTTTAACTAGAGCCAGATGCTGTCTCTCAATTATTTGAGTCTTTTCTTTCTTCCCCCTTTTTTTCCTCTCTCTCTCTCTGCTGTGACCTGAATGTTTATTTCTCACTCCCACTTTAGATGCTGAAATCCCAGCCCTCAAGGTGATGGGGAGGTGGCGCCATTAAGAGCTATTTAGCTGGGGTCCTGATGACAGTAATTTGTTTCCTTATAAAAAGGGGTCCCTGAGACTAGCTTTGCCTTTCAAGTGAAGTTACCAGGAAAAGATGACCACCTACGAACCAGGAAGCAGTCTCTCATTAGCCAGTGTGTCCGTTGGCACCTTGACTTAAGACTTCTCAGCCCTCAGCTCTGAAAACACTCCAGTGTGCTGTGTTACAAGTTGCCTGCTCTATAACAGCTTGGACACTGGGGGGGAAAAAAAAAACCCACATGTGTCTCTCTTTGTCTCTAAATGTCTTGGCTTTGGTTTAAACTTCCCTCTACCTATTGGCCCCATTTCTGCATATTGTGCATGACTTCCTTTGTGTTTGGGGGAAGTGTGGCCATGAGATATTGTTGCACAGCTTAGCTTACTGTATTGTCCAATCCCAGCGGATGCTGATAAGGTCTCTCTGGATCGTGTGCCCATCTCTGAATCAGACTCCATAGCTATGGAAATGGACCAGTCTTGACTGACGGGCTGGGGGATTACGTAGAACAAGCCCTGAACACTGTGAGCACACTCCTGAGGGTGTGCCCGCTGTCCTTTAGGGCTAGCATTCTCTGGGAAATTTGGTGGGATGTTTCTCATTTTAATCAAAGGGTTTTTGTTTTGTTTTAGATCTAAATGAAAACATTATGCTCTTCTAAGTTAAAGACTTTTTGACACATGGAAATTTCCAGTAGAAAAGCATTTGACAGGATCTTGACATTGGGAGATGGTAACAGGAAGACGGTTTCTGTGTGCACACAGTGGGACAAGAACAGCGCACAAAAATAAGAGTGCTCATGACTAATCTTTCAAAAAGCAAAAACAGTAATGAATGTGGCTTTAAGAAGGGACCCTCAGAAGGCTGGCGTAATGTCACATGCTTTTGATACCAGCACTCAGGAGGCAGAGGCAGAGGCAGACAGATCTGGACTACACACTGAGACTCACTCAGGCAGCGAGGGAGAAGGGGGATTTGATCCAGGCCACAGTGAGGCGAGGGCGGGATAGTCAGCGAGGGCTGGCATTCCCTGCAAAGGCTGCCCACAGTGCAATCTTCAAAGAGGGCGGGGGCGGTGGGTGCTGAGTTCCAGAAGTGTGACCCCAGAAAGTCTAATCATCTCGTTGGTGTGAACTAAACAGAAGCCGAGATAGACAGTGTATAGTCCAGAAAGGTCTAACCACTGGGTGGGGAGAAGCGCATTCTGGAGGCCACAGATCATCCAGACAGCCTAAAGAACAGAGCTGGACGGGTTCCAGGCAGGCAAGGGAAGGAATGTGTGTTGGGAGTAACTGCCTGCAGGTGTGTCTGAATTTGGGACCAGCTGCCGAGACACTGAGGCCGAGAGACAAGGTCACAGGGAACAAAGAGCCAGGGACAGGCATGGTCTGAGTGATGACAAGAAGAGTTCCAGGGGTGCTGATGGAGAACTGTGGAGCTCTTTGGGGAAAGACTGGAGACGGCAGCAGCCTTTTCCTGATTTGGGACCTAGGCTGTGGGGTGGAGAAGGGCTGATTCTGAGGAACGTCGTCTGTGTCCATGGAATCCAGCGGGTGAGGAGGCCGTGTTAGAACAATAATAAAAGCCATCACCATGTTTTGGAGTAGTGTGGGGTTTAGACCACAGGCCTACTCTTCCCGTGCGTGGGAGACCCCGAGCAGTCCTTCCTGTTACTTTTTTCTGCAAGGTACTTCCAACTGATTGCAGATCCGGTTTCTTTCGAAACTGTGGCTGACTTAGTTCTGTCCAACTTCTCTTTCTCGAGAGTCCCGTGACCCACGGAAGTCCTCTGAACTTCCAGAACTTAGTCTCCATGGATGATTTGCCCACGATGCTTGGGGAAGGAGAAACACTGTCCTTAGTTGGCCTTGATGAGAGTCAGGGGAGGAGGCTGTCCCTTCCAGGAATGCCAGGATGACCAGCTCTACTCCATGGACACCATGGTGAGGTGGAAACACAGGGTTAGGGTGGAGGCAGGACCTAAAGCTCCTCAGCCCCCTGGCTCCAGAGCACGTTAGTGGCCATCTAGTTTTGCACCCTTACTTCTGAGTGGTGACGCATCTGTCAGGTGAGCAAAGCAAAATAGTTTGGAGCATGTAATAGCCTGTTTCCTGTTGCTAGAACAAAAACGCTTCAGGCTTGGACACTTATAAAGAAATAAGGTTTTATAAATCATAGCTCTGGAGACTGAAAGTCCAAACAGCATGCCACCAACACTGGCAGGGACTTCATGGCTGGCGGCATTCTGGCCGATCACGTAGCAAGACAAGAAGCCTCAGTAGGGAGACAGTGTTACTGTTCTATGACCCTCTCCTAAGAAAAGAACTAAGCGGTGTGCTTAGTTCTACCTTGCCTTAACATCACCACTCCAGGGACCAGGGTTCCAGAATGGGAACTCAGGGCAGGTTCAGATCATAGCCAAACACCCATGCCACAGCAATGAAAGCGAGGACACTGCCCCCTGCCAGCAGGAAAGGGTGTGTGCTTCAAGGATTTGAGTGGGATAGCTCTAGGCTGGGGCAGGCAATTTGCCAAAGCCCAAAGTTTTGTAGATTGGTGGGGGTGGGTTGAGGAACCGCACCGATAGATGCGGAGATCTCATTTTCAGAAACTGGTTATGCCTCACCTCGCTGGCTTCACGTCTTGATTTATAAAGAACTGTTAGCTGCTGAGGACAAGCTTCCCCCAGAGGTAATTTATCCTATTAGTTACATACGCGCTCCATCGCATGGCCCATCATTATACCCTTATCGTCATATATATTTAAACACATTCCTGTAGTAGACCTAAGATGCTTTAATTTGACTCCCTTAATAAATATCCATACTGTGGTGACAGCCAGATGGGCTGTGAGCAGATAAAAAGGAAGACTCTCCTTTGAGAGAATTTATTATTGGTGTATTTTCTTATACATTATCATAAAAGCCAGTCCCTCACCACCCATTAATTTTATGATTTTGTTTATAGTCCATGTGAAAGCTAGACTCCAATGCACTTTTCTATCTTCTCATAGACCGCATCACTTTATTGTCCTTTGCAGAAAAGAAATGCTGCATTATATTAAGCATGAATTTACAGCAGTCTTAAATTCTCGCTTGCTGGAAGATCCCTTTAAGTAGGGCAATGTTTGTAAGAGACTAATTTAACTCCGTGGCAGGATGGGACTCTTCATGGTTTTCGTTGTTGGGTTTCCAATAGAAACCTTGCTTTGATTTGTGGTGCGACAACTTTGTTTATTGCCTACATTTAGAATGACTGTCACATGTTCCCTGAGCCCTTACCCCATGATGTCTCCATAGCTCATGTCTATTTTTTTATTCTCAGTATGCTCTGTCTTTTGAGTAATGATGACAACAGCTGTGAGAGCAACGGAAGTGGTTGATCTAACTTCACAGTACCGAGGGGACCCCAGGGTTAGGAGGGCCACTCACCTGTGTGCCGTTGTGTGGCTGACTCCAGAAACAGCTCTCTGACTTGTTCATCTAAAAGTCAGTCTTCTTCCTAACCGATTTTGGTGAGCCGTTTCTCCCCTTCTCGTACTCTGGCTTCTGAGGCTTATAGCATATGGCTTCTACTAAGATGAACGAACAGTGTTCATTGCTAAAAAATGTGATACAGGGTGAGGCTGTGGCTCGGTGGTAGACCATGTGTTTAGCAGGTGTGAAGCCTCGGGTCCCATCCTTAACACTGAAAGGGTGGGGAGAGTTGGAGAGATGGCTCAGAGGTTAAGAGCACCGGGTACTCGTCCAACACACCTGGGTTCGATTCCCAGCACACACACGGCAGCTCACAACTGTCCATAACTCCAGTTCCAAGAGATTTGATGCCCTCTTCTGGCTTTTGTGGGAACTGCACACACACATGGTGCACAGATACGCATGAAGGTAAAACACCCATACACATACATTTTTGTTTAAATTTTTAAAATAAAAATAAATAAAATGAAACTCATTTCAAAGAGACAAAGAAATTAAAATGCCCTTAAAAGTATGACTCCACCCAGGGCTGTGGCATATGCCTGTCAGCCTAGCTGCTTAGGACCCTCAGAAAACAGTGTCACTTGAGCCCTGGAATACAGTCAGGTTTTACCTCAAAAAAATATTCTGTTGCATCTGGAGACGTGGATCATCAGTTTAAAACACTCATTGCTCTTCCAGAAGATCTAGGTTTGACTCCCAGCATCCATATGGCCTCCACAACCATCCACAACCCTGGTTACAGGGATCCAACACACTTCTGTAGGCACCAGACATGTGTGTGATGCACAGACATGTATATAGGCAAAGGAACCATACATACAAAGTAAAATAAATAAGTCTTTAAAATTTTAATTAAAAAAATGTGGTTAATGTTACTGACAGGTAAAAGGTACCTTACACTTGAGCCAGCCCATAAATCCTATAGGCTATCAGCATTGCCTGCTAGGATAATTAGGTGACAATGGACACAGGGACCAGGCCATAGCCCATCACATCTAACTATGGAGTTAGTCCCAGAAGGAGCACATTTGACAAAGATTAGGGCAAGGCTCTTATCTCAGCTTTTAAAAGTGACCTAACTTGGTATCACCATCAGAGAAGACCTAGCCAGACCAATAGAAATCTCCGAAAAACAAATCTAGACTTTGGAACTATTTCTTGTTGTTGTTGTTTGCTTGTTTGTTTTGGTTAGCATTTTCTGCACCAGGGTGAGACCAGTGTCACCTTCTTCGCTGGGTCAAGGAAGCAAGGTTCTGAAAGGATGACAATAAAAGCACTGCGGTTTGGGTTGTGACTGTGGCTAAGGGGTCATGCATCCATCAATCCATCAATTCATCAGAGTTAAATGTATCAAATAGTAAGGACTGCACTGCAGTATGGGTTGTGACTGTGGCTAAGGGGTCATGCGTCCATCAATCCATCAGAGTTAAACGTATCAAATAGTGAGGACTAGAGAGATGGGTCCATGGCCCAAAGCACTTGCTGAGCTTCCAGAGAAACTGAGTTTGGTACCCAGCACTCACTTCAAGACACTTACAACTGCCTGTAACTTCAGATCCAAGGAATCCAAGGCCTGGCTTCTGTGGGCCCATGCACACATATGACGTGTGTGTGTGTGTGTGTGTGTGTGTGTGTGTGTGTGTTCATATATGCACACATGCACACAAACAGGAATAAAAATAAGACTTTTTTAACCCAAAGTGACTATATTAGAAATTAACTGAGAAATTAAAAACACGTTCACTCAGATAACAGCAATAAACCTCTTTCATCTTCAAAAGATATTGGCGGGCCAGCAAGGTAGCTAGGAGGCGATAAAAAGGGCACTCATGGTGAAACCTTCTGCTCGTTTTCACATTTTAATTCTTAAGAGAAACCTGAGAAAAGAGGCGCAAGTACACAAAAAGGACATTTGCTCAACCATGTTTGTAGCAGCTTTATTTGTAATAGCCAGAAGCTGGAAACAGCCCAGATGCCCCTCAACTGAAGAATGGATGCAGAAACTGTGGTACATCTATACAATGGAGTATTACTCAGCAATGAAAAATAAGGAAATCATGAAATTTGCAGGTAAATGGTGGGACCTGGAAAGGATCATCCTGAGTGAGTTGTCCCAGAAGCAAAAAGACATGCATGGTATATACTCACTCATATAAACATACAATATAAATTAACCCACTAAAATCTGTACATCTAAACAAACTAAGCAAAAGAGAGGACCCTAACTAAAATGTTCAATCCCCATCCTGAAAGGCAAAGAGGATGGACATCAGAAGAAAAAGAAAATAGGAAACAACCTTGGAACCTGCTACAGAGGGCCTCTGAAAGCCAGAAGAAAACAGGAAACAACCTTGAAACCTGCCACAGAGGACCTCTGAAAGCTTCTGCAGTATAGACTGTCAAAGAAGATGCTGAGCCTGATGGCCAACTGATGGGCAGAGTGAATGGAATTTTATGTAAGAAGTGGGAAATAGTAACAGCTGGAGGGTACGGGAACTCCACAAGGAGAGCAACAGAACAAGATAATTTGAACACAGGGAACTTCCCAGAAAAATCATACTCCAACCAAGGACTATTCATGGAGATGACCTGGAACCCCTGCACAGGTGTAGCCCATGGCAGTTCAGTGTCCAAGTGGGTTACATAGTAATGGGAAGAGGGACTGCCTCTGACATAATCTGATTGGCCTGCTCTTTGATCACCTTCCCCTGAGGGGGGAGCAGCCTTACCAGGCCACAGTAGAGGACAACGCAGCCACTTTTGATGAGAACTGATAGACTAAGATCAGAAAGAATAGGAGAACGTCCCCTATCAGTGGACTTGGGGAGTGACATGCATGCAGAAAGGGGAGGGAGGGTGGGATCGGGAGGGGAGGAGGGAGGGGCTTATGGGGGGATACAAAATGAATAAAGTGTAATTAATAAAAAATTTAAAAAAAAAAAGAGAAACCTGAGAGGGGAGGGCTGAGAAATGAGAGGCAGCTGCTTGCTCCTTGCGCTGTGCGAATGTTCTGTCTCTGCCTTGGCTGCTCAAAGCCATTCTCCACTGAGAATTTCTGGCGTTTAAGGGACTACCTGGAGATTCCCCCTAATACCACCACCTTAGCAAGATGCATGCCTCTCTCCATTTTTAAAGATGGTTTAAACAAACCGACCGAAGAGATGGCTCGGCAGTGAAGAGCACTTGTTGCTCCTGCAGAGGACCTGGGCTTCGTTACCAGCCTCCGTTTGGTGGTGCACAACTGTCTGTAACTCCAGCTGCAGGGGTCTCGATGCCCTCTTCTGGCCTCCACACGTGGGCGCATTCATACATGTGGCCAAGAGCTCACACACATGAATAAAAATAAAATCAGAATCTTTTAAATAATGGAAGCAAAAGAGATCTCTCGCAAGCCTGTGATTCCCAGCACTCGGGCGGCTGAGGCAGGAGGATGCCGAATTCAAGGCCACAGCCACATCCTGATAGGTTCCCACTTCATCCTTTTGAAATACAGTGATGTAAAAATACGCAGGTCTGCACCTTCCCATCTGGCTCCGAGCAAACCCCAGAGCCCATCCCACTCTGGGGACCATCGCCTTTTTCTATCTTCATCCAGCCCCAAAGACCCGGGCTGACCCGTGAGGACGATACCAGCCCACTTCCTTGCTTCACACAGGAGTTAGTCAGGAGGTGGAAGTTCTCAGAGAGCTTAGGAAAGTGAGAGAAGAGGAGAAATCCCCAACCGCATTGCTGCCTTGTGCTCCAATCAGGCCGCCCTGGGCTCTGCTGATTTGCACAAGGGAAGGTAACTGTTCTCCTGTTCTCTGGGGACATCTTCCAAACTCTGTACAGAGATTCTTCTTTTTTTTTTCAATCCTGCATTAAAATCTTCTCGAATGACCTATGTTGGAAGCCTCTTGGTTCTTCCGAGAGCTAGCAGATCTCTAAGTCTTAACCAGAGACAAGGACATCAAGAGCTTCCGCTGCTGCGCAGGGTCCTGGGGAGGACTGTGTGGGGGAGCCACTCCCTGAGCTGCAGCACACTCAGCTCTGTTCATTCTCTCTGGAAGGGCCCCTCGTGTCCTTCAGAAAGATTTCACCATCCCGCCTACCCTCCAGTCCCAGACACGCTGACAGATCACACAGCAAACGAAGGCTTGAGCCATCTTGCCGCTTGACTTACTTTAACATCTCACGCAAAGCTGTTGGGTGAAACGTTACAGCCAATAGGGAAAAGTTACAAAGTGTAGACACGTGAACAAATACGTGAATCCGTTTAGCTGTGCTTCCTTCCAGACTCACTCCTTTCTCAAAAGCCTCACGCTGCTGTTTCCCTTTTGACTTCCCCAGGTCAGCATCCCCTCCGATTTGGACATGAGTATCACTGAGATTAGCTGCTTAGATCGAAAGCCCTTCGCGGTGACAACAATGCGACAGATACACAGTACGGAAAAAGACAAGTTCCCACTGAGAGTTAAAATAATGAGCGTGGTCCTGTCGGAGAACAGAGCCTACCCAGAGCCTTTGAAGTGTGGGCAGCTCTTAACCATCCTTGGGACTGAAGAAGTGAAAGCATTCGTTGCCACGGAGAGCTCCCAAGGAAACAAAGGGAGGTGTTTTCTCGTCCCAAACACCTATGAGGGCCTGGTACTTAGAAGTCGCTGTTTTTATGCTGCCTCTGATGTTGCCGCGGCCATGCCACATGGGCAGCTCTGCTTCCAGTCCTCCAGGGCCTATACCTCCCGCCTGGAGCCTTTTGCACCTCTCACAGCCAGTGAGTGCTTCCTGGCTCTGAAGAAGAGCATGGTGTCTGCTACACAGGGTGCAAGTCCTCAAGTGCCTTAATATTGCCACCAAAGCCCACGTCCAACTGCCTTTGTTTGCAGGAGAGCTCCTAGAGCCATTTGGTGAGGCTGGACCAGGGGCCCTGCAGGAGCTGTGCCAAGTCACAAGACTGCCATGCCACGTCAGAGTGGTCAGCCCAGATCCTTCCATGGCTAGAGACCCTCTGTGTGGAACTGGTGGGCTGAGGCTTGAAAATATCGTCATTGAACAATGCCTCATAGTCGAGGATGAAGCTTCTTCACTGGAGAACATAGAGTCTGCGGAGGACATGTATGGAGGCTGGCCTGAGGCCACGTTTGAAATCCCAACTGAGAGGTCAGGCCATGAGGTCTTGGTGGTGGAAGAGTGCTGGTGGGTGGCTGATGTGAGAAAAGAGAGCTGCACGTCGTTCCAGAACATCCAGGACATCACTGAAGAGTCTCTGGCCTTTAGTAATTGCTTGGTCATTCCTTGTCCGCCACCACCTTTTCCAAAGCCCAGAAAGTTTGTCTTAAAGCAGAAAAAGCGACTATTATCCCTCGTCTACAGGACACAGTGTCCACACACTCAGGAACTGAGTATTTGGGGTTCACTGGAGCCCGAACGTAGCCCCCAGAGGTGGGAGCGCAGACGAAATCACAGGTTGTTGGCACCCTTGCACATTTGCTGTAAGTCACGTCAGCACTCCGCTGCTGTGACAAATACCTGAGGTAATCAACTCACGGGGAAAGGTTTGTTTGAGCTCACAGGTTCAGAGCATCGAGTCCAGGACCGCTTGGCCCCGCAGTGGGAATGTGCAGTGGATCGAAGCTGCCCACCTCATGACAGGTGGGAAGCAGAAAGGCTCCCATGTCCCGTTCTGTAAGTGACCTCACTCCCCTCAACAAGACTAGGCCTCTTAAAGACCCCCAGATCTCCTGATACCACGAGGAACTGGAGACCAAGTTCGAAGCTGTCTAGGAGACAGACTTTTCCCTTCATCCGCATGGGAAGTGGGCCTCTGCAATGGCCCATGGCCACAGTACTCTTCTTTCAGTTAAAGTAAAATTCTAGGTATTCAACAGGAACATGTGTTGCTCATCAACCATGGTTCTCCCTGAGGCCCCGGATTTGGAATCCTTTCCACCTGTTGCCTTCACCGCAGCAGTGTGTGGCACTCAGTACACACTCAAATAAAACTGTGTTGGATGACTAATTGAGTGCACGCTTTGATTTGTTAGCCCCTTGCTCAGCATTGCATCTTCCTCCTTGTCCCCTCTGTAAGAAAGGCACCGTCAGCCCCCCAGTCCCTCAAGGCAGACACCTAGAAAACTCTCCTTTACCCATCCAATTAGTCAATTGGTCACCGTCTCCCACCGATTGCTACAATTCCTATTATTCTCTCACCTTTGACCTGTGCCAAGTCTCCTCCCATCTCCCCGTCTAGACCATCATATTCCCCTTTTCTTTGTTGCTCTTCCATCAAGCCCCACCCTTTTCGTGTCAGTTGCCCATTTTAAGCAAAGAGATACCTTGGGGCTGAAACAGAAAGAGATAAAGCCTCCAGAGCCCTTCAGGTATATCTGCTGTCTTAGGACAAAGTTTGGGTATCTAGAACAATTTCTAGGGCTGTCTGTACACTGTCCTGCAGCCTGCACCTTCACCTTTCGCCTCTACCAGGCTTGTTTCTCTATCTCTCTAAGCTTCAGCCAGACCAGACACATTCGGGACTTTCCCGGACTGGCTTTGAACCCAAGGTCACACTGTAGTCTTGCCTTTCTACTTGACAGGGTTTCTCTGTGTAGCCTTAGCTGTCCTGGATTTTGTAGACTGGGCTGGCCTTGAACTCACAGAGATCCTCCTGCCTCTGCTTCCCTGCATGCTGGGATCACAGGTGTGCGCCACCTTGCCTGGCTCTCTTTCTACTTTCTTAAGCCTAATTTCTGCTCATTCTTTAATTCTCACTGTACATTGCTTCTCTCCAAGTGAGTTCTCCGAGACTTAAGTCCAGTTTAGTCTCTGCTTTGTCCCCTTCAGGATCAGCACAGCTCAGTGGATAAGAATGGACAGTACCAGGGGCTAGAGAGATGGCTCAGTGGTTAACAGCACCAGCTGCTCTTCCAAAGCACCTGGGTTCAATTCCCAGCACCCACGTGGTAGCTCAAAACTGTCTATACTTCCAGTTCCTGGGGATCTGACACCCTCACACAGACATACATGCAGACAGAACACCAATAAAAATAAATAAATCCCCTCTTTTAAAGAATGGACAGTTCGGCAGTTAGATAAATGATGTTTCCACCCTCCAGCTGGCAAACTGGGTAACCCTGACTCCCGTTTACTCATGGTTGTAGGACTGAAGGAGAGGATCTGTACGTGCAAGAGCATGAGGCCTGTAGTGTGAGTGTGCAGTCACTAGGCAGAGGCTCAGTGTATCTCCATCACTTCTCTGAGGTGATTAGGATGAGAAAAATCCTCCGTAGGCTCCAGTATCTGAACACATGGTCTCTAGTTGGTGGCACTGTTTGGAGATGTTATGGAACCTTTAGGAGTGCCAGCGGAAGTGCCTCACTGAGGGCAGACTGTGAGACCGCATAGCCTCATCCTGCTTCCAGTTTGCTGTGTCTGTTTCATACCCACAGCAGAAAATGAGCTCTCTCTCAGCTCCCTGCTTCTGCCTTCCACTTGCTGATGAGTGGCCGCACTGTAGTGGACTCATACCCTTCTGGAACCATAAACGAAAAATAAACTCTTTCTTCCACAGATTTCATTTGGTCGTGGCATTTTATCATAACAGAGAAGGAACTGGTGCACCCTTTCCCCTCATTCAGTAGCACAAAGGAGGGCAGCCATGCAGGAGGGCAATCCCCTTCATGGGAGATCTTAATGGAAATGGGGTCAGGGTCAAGAGCTAGGAAACTGGCTAGATGGGGTGCGTTGGGAGTACTGAGCCAGGGGCCAAGTGGGGAGGGCCAGGTGCTGTGTCCAGTGCAGTGTATGATTGCTGGGACTTCCCTGCTCTAAATGTCTGTGCTCTGCTCCCTTTGGCAGAAGGGGAAAGAGAAAACCCAGTTTGCCAGTCTGGCAAGAGGACTAAGAACAGAGTGAGATCTGGAAGGGCTTTGGAGACAAGTAGCTTACTTAGAAGGGATGTAGGTGAGTAAACCTGGGAAGGGAGGAAAACAACACAAGGTATTTAATGAGCAGATCCTGATGTGGGCCTCAGGCCCAACTCTGGGAGACCACTTGGGCTGGGGTCAGCAAGCTACAACAGGTGAAACAAGACCATCAACCCCTAAGGTAAAATTGTCATGCCAGAACTCAGGGGGCAGAGGCAGGTAAATCTCTGTGAGTGTGAGGCCAGCCTGGTCTACAAAGCGAGTCCAGGACAGCCAAGGCTATACACAGAGAAACCCTGTCTCAAAAAGCCAAAAACAAACAAAACAAAAGAAAAAAAAAAAAAACTGGTCACTACCCTTTTAAATGGCTGGACAATAATTCAAGGAAGAAAAATATTTTGTGACTTGAAAGTTATTAAAACTCTCATTTTAACAGATCATATAAAATTTTTATTCGTAGCAGAGCCACACCCATTATTTGTCCATGTCTGTGCTATGGCTGCTTATACCCAATAATCCAGGGCTGAACAGTTGTGAAGGAGACTTAGTCTACCATGCCTAAAATATTTACTATATGGCCCTTTAAAGGAAAAACTTGCCAAATCTGGTTTGGACCATGCTTCAGGGCTATGCCAACAAGAGAGCAAGAACCTCTCTATGATTTCTCAAGGGCTACAAATCCAAGGATTTTTAATTTGTCTCTCGCTTAGTTAAGCATGCTCTTGAAATCCCTACGTTAGAGTCACGCATGCGCGCACACACACACACAGCTGGGGCAGGGTTTCTCTCTGTTTCTGATTCCGGGGTGAGAGGTGGCAGGCACCCTGGAGCTACTGACCCCCGCACTATGATAGCTACATTCCGACTGTGAGCTAAATGAACCCTTTTTTCGCTAAGTTTATTTTGTCAAGAAAGTTTATCACAGCAACAGAAACTAAATTAATACACCATGTAAAAGTAAAAGAAAAATAAGAAAAAAAAGCTGGGGCTAGAGACTAGCTCAGCAGTTAAGAGCATTAACGGGCTTTTCAGAGGACCCAGGGTTCAAGTCCCAGGACCACAATCATCTGTAACTCCAGAGAATCTGGCTGCCTCTTCCGAACTCTATGGGCACCAAGCATACATGTGGTATACATACAAACACACAGGCAGGGCATTCATGCACATAAAATAAAAAAAATCTAAAAAAGAAACAGGAAGATCTCTAGTTTGCCAACAGCCTACTTGATACATTCCAGAACAGTAAAATATTCTTTCTCTAAAGAAAAGTGTGTAGCACCTGAAGAATGATACCTGAGGTGTCCTCTGGCACACACTCGAGTGAGCACACACACACACACACACACACACACATACGTGCAGTGTATCGGTCGGGGTTCTCTGGAGTAACAAAACATATAGAATGAACTCTATATAGAGAGAGAAATTAGATTTAATAGAATTAAGTACAGGCTGTGGTCCAGCTAATCCAACAGTGGTTTCCCATATACAGAAGATCCAAGAATCCAGTAGTTGGTCAGTCCACAAGGCTGGATGTCTCAACTGGTCTTCAGAATCCTGAAGATGTGGGCTCTAATGCCAGTGAAGGGATGGGCCTGCTAACCAGAAGACAGCAAGCAGGCAAAGAACAAAACTTTCTTTTCTTCTTGTTCTTATTTTGCAGCAGTTCTCAACTTTTTAAGAGGTAGCATATCAGATATCCTGCATATCAGATATTCACATTATGATTAAAAACAGTAGCAAATTTATGGTTTTGAAGTAGCAACAAAATAATTTCATGAATGGGGGTCCCCACAAGATGAGCCACTGTATTAAAGGGCCACAGTGTTAGGAAGGTTCAGAACCACTGTTAAACAGGGTCTCAGCAGAAGGCATGCCCCAGATTAAAGGTGGGTTTCACTAGCTTAAAAGATCTGACTTAAAGAAAGGTGTGTCCTCCTACCTCTAAAATCTGGATTATATCTTCCCACTTCAAATTAAGCAAAAATGCTTCACAGCTGTGGCCTCCATTTTTTGGTTTTATTTAGTTCCAGGTGTAGTCAAGTTGACAACAAAGAAGAGCCATCACACACACTTTTTTTAATAAAGAAGGGCTGTGATTTCAGTTGCCATTTTTTTTTTTAATTTCAAAGAAGACCCTGCTTTATTTTCTCCTTAGAGAATGTGGATGTTGAAGTAAGATATTGAAGATGGATTACTTCATCTTCAATGAAGTAATGGGAGGTTGTTGATGCCCCAGATATAAGGTGACATGAGTAATAGTGTGTCCACTGTTCTATCAAAATCTCACATGACAAATGGGTGCAAAAGCAAACTTTTAATTCCAGCGCTTGGGAGGCTGAGGCAGGAGCATCTCAAGCTTGAGGACAGTCTGGGTTTCATAGTGAGACTGTTTCAAAACAAAACAAAATGAAACAAAAAATGGAAAGTGGGGGCTGGATGTGGTAGTGCTGGCCTTTGATCCCAGCACTCAGGAGGCAGAGGCAGGTGGATCTCTGTGAGTTTGCATCCAGCCTGGTCTACAGAGTGAGTCCAGGACAGCCAGGGTTCTGTTACACAGAGAAACTCTGTCTCAAAAAAAATTGGCAAGTGATATATGAGCAGCCAAAGA